ATTAATATCAGTTAAACTCAGTGTCTAGCAGGTTGGTTTCAAACAAAAATTTCTAACTTTAATTTCTTTACCCTCTATATTTTCAAACCATAATTTCCCTGGTTTTTGAATAGACGATGTTAGGAAATGCTCAAATTTTTGTTTCCAAATTACAAATAAGGCCTTTGGAGAAATGTCTTCTCATCAGCTACATTCTGAAGACTCACTAGTCACGTTCTCAAACTGTGCTAAAATTCTCAACATAAATATAGCATAAGCATCTACATATTCCATGTTAAAAATGTATGTGTCATGGTTCATCAACTTATTTTCATTCAGAAAGCCTTTGTACACCTGCTCTATGCACAGGAAAGGTAGCAATGAGTTTCCTGAAATTGGTAAGACAAAATTGGTTCCATAAAAGTAACTAGGACAAGTAAAAAGGCACCCGTATAATAATCAAAATCCTGCTGAGAAACAGAGGAAGTGATGCTTGGCTGACTGTTTTTAAAGGACTGCCAGGGCTCAGTGTAGACTGTCTATACTAGGTTACTAACCCAAATGGAAAGTCTATCCCAGAGGGTTTTGTGTGGCCAGAACAATGTTTCCAGTACTTTCAATATGAATGCTTTCCAGTGAAGCACTGCTCTCCAGCTAGGGAGACGTGCTGTTTTCTTTTGTCACCCTTTACCTAACTCTGTCACATTTTCCTTCTTGGCCCCTTCTGTACATGTAAACCTAGAGACTACTGGGCTACAGTAGGAGGCAAAAAGCCATGACCTATAAGCCAAATCTGGCTCCACACCCGTTTCTGTGCCACCCATGAAATATTCTCTATGGTTTGAAGGCCTATAATTTTTCAAAAGGATATGCCACAGAGACTTATGTGGCTCATTTAAATAATTTAATATATTCACAGTTCTGATCTTAACAAAAAAAGTTTGCCCATCCCTAGTCTAGAATAACACTCCCATGTGTTTGCTGATGTACTCATATATAGACTTATTACACATGCACATCAAGTAACTTATATAGCCAGGAAAAAATGCGAAACACTTTTCAATGATCAACAAAGATTCCTGGTAGTTGTGTCTAACACTTTCCTCAGGTAAGGTTTTCTGATTCTATAAGTCCTGCAACTGTTGCTATCATTAAGCTATTTTACACAAAAGCCTGTAATTTATAGATAATCCATGGCCATATAACGGATTCTTGTCCAAAAACCTGTGGGACAACATTATCTGGTGATAGTGCAATTTACTTCCCCATCCACTATGGAAGAGCCAGTCTTGCATCCACTAAGCACATTTATTTCGGCATTATTGGGTGCCTAGCTATGTAACACTTAGATTCTCCTTTGAACTGGCTTTAATAACTTACTGGTTTCTTTATTAACTAATGGGTTAAATAATATAGTTGACATGTGTTCATTTTATGTTCATATAAAGTTATGAGCTTACCATTTTTTAACCCTTTAAATATGTTAACTTATTTATGTTGTATAGATATGCTATTGTACTAATATATATTATAAAACATAAGATGAGGATTCAGAAACCAAGAGCTAAAAAAAGTGTTACTAGATTTTTTCCACAATACAGTGTGACATGTACACCCCACTTTTGATGCCACTATAAATTTTAATATACTTAAATGTTTTAGCTACCTTGATCTTGTGAAAGAAAACTAAGAAAAATTATGAACAAATAGCTTACATTATTGAATTCACATTTTCTGACTGTATTGAAGACGTTTTTAAAAAAAACTTTAAGTCATATCAGTTAATCCAATAAAGACAGGTGGATTTTTTAATGTTGGAAGGAAATGCACATTTCAATGATCAAGCATCGGTAACATAATTTACTACTGGCTGTGAAATCAGACTTTCAAATGTAGCTGCATTTCTCTTCCTTAAAGCATACTCTTGGATTTACTTATGTTTTTACAAAGCTAGTTCTTAAACATCTTTGCCATCATTTAAAATGCAGGCTTCATTCTGAGAAGAGCACTCAATACTGCCACTGAAGTTCTGTAGTCTGGTGTCATTTTGTCAATTACGCTGATGCTGTGAGACCATGGAACAGTGCCACTATTTCCAAGAGCAACAGCAAATCAAAAGAAATACATGCAACGTTGCTCTAGAAAAATCTATTATGTTGGTTTATGCTTAAAAAGTAGTTACTACCAGAGTAGTAATTTTCCAATCTATCCATTAAAAGTTCCAATGTACTACTGCATTTTTTTAAGTTGTAAAAGAATGATGTACACATATCCTTAAACATAGCATATAAAAGCAACCACTAGATGGAGATTTAGATAAGATTACTTATGTCAAGAAAATTATTTATTTGAATCAATAGTGCAATTTAAGATTGAAAGACATTTTCTTTACAAGTGCATTCCCTATACCACTGAAATAAAAAAATCAAATCTAAAACTATGCGAAAAGTCCTCCCTTTTTGAATTAATAGAGACTTAAAAAATTTTATTGAACAATAAGAATATTAAAACCCAACGTATTTTTTTAAAACTTATGTGGGGTTGTTGATGAGTAGCAGGTAGTTTTATGTCTGCCATAAACCTTTGGTAAATGTGATTTAAATGCAAATGTCATGTAGTAAGTGATCTTATATTTCTTTAGAGGCTAATAATCATGCAGTGTTTGCATGAATGTCCCATTACATGCTAACACCGTCTTTCACTGCCTCACTCATGTATGGAACCTCTATACATATATAGAAATGGCACTCATACATTACACACACACACATACACACACACACACACATATGTTTATATGTATATAAGTACCATGGATGAATACCATGAATATATTATATATAATCACAGATATAATACATTACATATATTCATATATATTACATATATTCATAGACATAATATATATATTCATATATATTATATATATATAATTCATCCATGATACTTATATACATATAAACTAATTCTTACTGAAATAATGTTAAAACTGCAGTATGGTTTTGTGTATGATAAAATCTATATTATTCCCTGAACTTTGGCATGTTATGTGCACAGCTCTTATTCATTTGACATTTGAGGACACCATAATCTTGACATTTTGAGCACTGGAGAAATTCCTGTTGCACCAAGGATTCTGGCTTGCCACTGTTCCAAAAAAAGTGACTATTTTAGTTCCAGTAGATAGTCTGAATTTGTAACAAAGAGGGTAAAAATCACCAACACCACCCTCACTATCTAAGTGATACATACTAAAAGAATCCTACAGTCTTCTAAGTGATCAGCATCCCCACTGATTTGGCCAGACCTTCCAGAATCCTCCCAGTTTCCAAGTTCTGCTTAGTCATAGGCCAAAGAACTATACTGATGTCAAGGAGACCAGCTCAGGCCTCAGTGTGCCCTGATGACAGGTGATGCCAATGCCAGCTCCAAACAGGGCTCAATCAATCAACCCTAATTTTTCCTGAAAGACATACTTTATATTATGACATTTTGATATAACTAAAAAGGTGCCAAAATTAAATATAATCAACTGCTTCTTAATCTATGTCCCCTTCTACTTTATTCTTAGCAATCATTATAATGTTTTATTTATAAAAATTTATGTGTATGGCTCCCTGTATAGACTCTAATCTCATGCTGGGCAGGGATAATGATTCATTAATTTTCTCATTACCTGCATATAGAACAGTGACTGACACAGAGAATAATACAAATAAACGTTTGTCTTGTTTAAAGAAATCAAATAAAAAAGTATTTTAAAAATCAAATCACATTACATAATTGAGATAATTCTGTGCTTTCTAGAGTAGACATCTCCACAAAAGATGTCTATAGATTTATCAGTGTGCATATGTCAGAATCAAATACATTATTATAGATAGTTTATGAATCAGTATATAGAAAATTATGATCACTGACTATAACATTTAACTTTAGAATTTGCATTGCCAGGTCATGAAACTCTAATACAATTTAATCTTGCATTTGCAATAAATCCCTGGATTCATTAAAGAATAAGGAAACAATATGTAATTCAGTTTTTCTGGCCATTTAGCTTTTAGAGCTTATATGAGTATGAATGACTTACATATCTAAAAAATATGAACTTATCAAATTCACCTTTTAAAACTGTTAAAGAAATTGAGTAAAAAATAGAATTGTGCATTAAGATGCTATATATATATATATATATATATATATATATATGGCATCTTAATGCACAATTCTATTTTATATATATATATAAATATAAATATATATATATAAAATTGAAAAAAACAGAAACAAGATATTCATAATTTACAGCATATTGACACCAACCACACAAATTACAACTATAAGACTGCCATTAAAAGCACATTTAAAAATCTGTAAACTATCAAAAAAATGTTGATCTATAGCACAAACTACATCTACTGGCTTGGGGATAAAACACATCCAAAATTAAATTTCCCAAATGCAAATTCTGAATTTTATCCTGGTTTCAAGATTTATATCATAGGCTGGAAAATGTATTTGAAAAACGATGCATTTAATTAGCTCAAAAATAATTGTTCTGAGACTTACTAAAAAAGAACCAGAAAACAGTGAGCTTCAGCTAAATGTAAATGTTTATGCAGATTCTTACCTTAGCTAGCAGCAAATGCTTATTGTATAGTTGCTTGAATTAATGAAAAACTCTTTATTGGAAATAAGACCAATAGCTTAGAAAATACTGAGACAAGGCTCTAATAGGGAACAAAAAGCAGAAAGGTCCATTTTTTTACCTCATTTTTCTTCCTTTAGGAAATCTTGAAACTCTGAAGATTTGTCATATTTTAACATTTGACACACTTTGTTGCAGATGCATGATCAACATTATTTTACATCCCAGTGGACAAAAGAGCAAGGGGTATCAGGTATTAGCTAGCACAGAAGGAAATAGCCAGATGCGGAGGTGCATAAAATTGAAGACAGACTCTGCATAGGCATCAGAGTGAGACTAGACAGTGAAAATGTGCTCCAAGGAGCACCCATACCTGGTTTTTTTCTTGCAGATCAATTTGTGACATCTTGAAATCAGGACCTTGAGAGTTTGCACTTAATCTATTTTTCTTATCCAAGAGCTCTTCCATTTCTTTCACCTGGATCTTCAGCCTTCTATTTTCTCTCTCCAGTCCCTGCTTTTCTGTTTCAAGTATTTCCCTCTTGTCCCACTCCAAGGTATTTTCAGCTTGCAATCTCTCTAGCTACACACAGAAAACACACACAAAAAGCAACATGCAGCATTTGCAATTACCGAAAGATAATGCAACCCGCAAACAGGCTCCCATTAAGAAAGGTTCGTGAATATGTCCATTGATAGACTTTTTAAAAGAAACTTCTATTTGTTTGAAAACTTGAGAACAATACAAAAGTCCTAAGATTAGGCCAAATCATAGATAAATATGCTTTTCCTCTTGGTTCATGTAACTATCTCTATAACCATATGGACCATATTTTTCAAATAAATGTGTCAAGTGAAAAACTGCTGCTCTTGGGAACATTAATTTCCAATCTCAACTGATGAACATTCTCAGTGGAGAAGACACAAAACTATCTCGTGGGCAATTTTGATTGGATATATTTCATTTATTTATCCTTTCATTTATTTATCTAGGGAATAGATAGGTGATGTATCTATCTATCTATCTAAATATCTATCTATCTATCTATGCAACATTTGCAGTTGCCAAAAAATAATGCAAAAGGTAATTGAAAGATACATATAATTTATAATTTTATATTTTAAAATTTTACATGGAAACATTTTCAATATAAAATTATTATATAATTCAAATATCAGTACCACAAATTAAATTGTATTGGGACAGAGCCGTGCTCATTTTTTCACACTTTGCCTATAATTGCCTTCACACACAATGGCTAAGAGGTTGAGAGAGAGATCATAAGTTGTGAAGCCCAAAATATTCACTTTGTGGTCCTTTACACTAAAGTTTTGTCAATTTCTGCCCTTTTCCCATCATTCTCAACAAGGCAGCATGGTATATCAACATGAGGAGATTTTTATAGCTACCAGTGTCCAGAAGCCTACTCTGGAAATTCTGATTTAAGATAATTTTAATATCTCCCTTGGTCAGTTTTTTTTTTTTTTTAATTATTATACTTTTAGTTCTGGGGTACATGTGCAGATCTTTCAGGATTGTAACATAGGTATAAACATGCCATGGTGGTTTGCTGCCTCCATCCCCCATCACCTACATTAGGTATTTCTCCTAATGTTCTCTCTCCACAATCTCCCCACCCCTGCTATCCCTCCATTAGCCCCCCACCCCCAACAGACACCAGTGTGTGAAGTCCCCTTCCCTGTGTCCATGTGTTCTCATTGTTCAACACCCACTTATGAGTGAGAACATGCAGTCCCACGTCCTTTGCAGGGACATGGGTGAATCTGGAACCCATCATTGTCAATTTTTATTATTTTAACATTTTTATGTTGTAAAGAGGCCATATAAAATGTCTTTATTTTCTACAATTTTATTATATCTAAATGCTCATTATTATGATGTGCAATTATATTTGTCTGCTATGATTTTTTTTGGTGGACATTGTAAGTAGAAGTGATTATTGGCTTTTTGGCTCTAAATTCTAATCCTGAGCTGTATATTCTAATCTGACTTCACCATTCATTTTCTGTATTAACTTAGGTAAATTCAACTACCCCAATGTGGACAATTTATTATCTAATCTGACAAGGTTTGTGAGAGGTGAAATTAATCAAAGTAATTAGAAAGCACTTTGTGTAACAATGTACTGTTTAAAGGAGAAACACTGTGGTAATAATTTTTTTTAAATGTGTATTTCTTTCATAAATTTGGGCATATGGATATCGAGATGTCAATGTAATTCATGGCATAAATCTATACAGTGGAATAACTCTTTACAGTAGAAAATATTTTAGAATCTAGTCCTGGTTCCACCACTTACTCATTGTCTAATTCTGGAAAAGACATTTATTATGTTATTGACTTTCCTTTCTTGCAAAATTAGTAACACCATACATATAATACCAAAATACAAGAGCACGAATGGCATATTTGTGATATTGTAAGGACAGAATAGTGTCAACTATTCAAAATTCCTTGCAGTCTATTTAGGATGATTAAAGTATGAGGCATTATAAAACTATCTCAAAAGGATAAAAATTCTAAATTACTTGTTTTTACATTGTTAATTTTAAGTGGTTTGATTGCAACGTAATTAATAATATACTGTTTTAATGTATGTTGCTATGACATATTAAATTCTAAAGAACCACCAACTTAGTCAACATTTATAAAAATGTTAGACTTCAATAATATCCTTTATATCATAATAAATTATTATATAAAAGCCTAAAAACTGCTTTTTCATATATATATAATTGTACTATTATTGTAGAAAATGTTCTGTTCCCAAATATAAGAGATGCTCTGGCTTCTGAAATGTAGGAAACCAAAATTACATTCTTGGCACTAGACCTCATTTACCAATTAAATATAATAAACTAAGGTTCAAATTTTAGATGACATAGTTTGACATTTGGGGTACTTGTTTGGGGATATGAGATGAAAATATTATATCACAATTTAATTTAGAAGATGGCATTACTTTCATTGTTAAGATGAATACTTAAAGTTTTTTATTATTGCATCACTTATCAGAATAAAAATAATGAAGTTGCAACAAAAAGGCAGCAACTTAGTAATGAAAAATTAATATAAGGAGAGCAAATGTATTTTTGGGCAAGGACAAACATTATGTTGTGACAAGTCTTTGTAAACTTGCTGGATTTTTTTTAGATGTTAAATAAATTGATTTAACATTAACAGATAACAAGTAGAACCAAGGTTTTAAATAAGTAATAAATGGTCTGAGTAAAAAAACTTTATTAAATTTTTTTTTTTATTATTTTGAGACAGAGTTTCACTCTTGTTACCCAGGCTAGAGGGCAATGGCGCGATCTTGGCTCACCACAACCTCCACTTCCTGGGTTCAAGCAATTCTCCTGCCTCAGCCTCCCGAGTAGCTGGGATTACAAGTGTGCCCCACCATGCCCAGGTAATTTTTGTATTTTCAGTAGAGATGGGGTTTCACCATGTTGACCAGGATGGTTTCGATCTCTTGACCTCATGATCCTCCTGCCTCGGCCTCCCAAAGGGTTTTTTTTTTTTTTTTAAGTAATGATTTTAGCAGTAGCAACAACAAAGCTTAAATAATGCCTTATGATGTTTCACTTTTTGTAGATTTATCAAAACATACAAAGTATTTGATAAACGTGTATAATATACGTTAAAAATTAAAATTCCTATAAAAATTAGAACATTGTAAAAATTCTAAGTTTTAGTTTTTATTTTGTAACACTGTTTCTTATCAGATCACTCTTTTACAAGAATCATATGAAAATCCACTAACTTAAAACGCATTTAATTGTATGAACATTAAAATGATAAAGGAAAAATAAGATATTTTAAGCTTTCAGAGTTTATAATAAAAATAATAATTTTATCAAATGGAAATACAATTCCATTGCTTCACTTCTGATGATCAAGAGAAAATCCTAAAATATTTTAATTGTATTTCAACTGTGAATTTTAACCAATAGTGTGTTCTAGTGTTAAATGAATTCCAGATAACACAGACATTACTGAAACATGTTTTCTGAAAATTTTAATGTAAAAGTACATTCTCTGTAATGTAAAAGTACATTCACTAAAATCTTTGTTCACTTAATGACATCAATTTCTTTACTTATTAATCATTGAGAAAAAGTACATAAATATCCAACACTACATTTACTGAATGTTTATTGAGTATGTTTATCAGAAAACAAAGAGAAACTGAATATATGACTTTAAAAATACAAATAGAATATGAGTAAAATTGGTCATCATTTTATGAAGGAAAAAAATTCTGAGTGCCATAGAAAGGCCTGCAATAAATCAGGTAAAAGGAGAAGGTCATTTGAAGAAATGATATTTAAGTTGCAACTTATAGTTTAACAAAACAGAAAAGCATAGTCAGGCCCAGAGTGTCCCAAGTACAGGAAGCAGGAAATATGTTTGAACATTGCAAGACCCAAAAGAGTCTGCCCAGTTATGGAAGTTAGGATTTGGGGAGAACATAGCATAAAAGAAAATTGGACAAACACACTGGTTCTGAAAAATCAGTGTGAATATCAGAATCACTTGAGTTGCTTGTAAAAACGGTAATATTGTGACTATTCCTAAGGATAAAATATTGGATCATTTTCTAAACGTAGCTATTTACTCATTCTTCAGCTGTCATTGCTTGATATTGTTGAAAAGACTTAAAAATTGTAATCATTACAACTAGAACATAAGCGTTATAAAACCAGGTTTGTCATTTTGCTCATAAGCCCAGCACCAGACACACACTATGTTTGCTCCCTAAATAACTGTTAAGTGAAAGAGAAAGCAGATAATGATACTCTCCAGGAAAAAAAAAAAGCCTTTCTATATTTCAATGACAACAATTAGACACAGAGCAAAATTAAGAAAGCACTCTTAAAAAGCCAGTTACTTGACTTACCATGACCTAACACCAAAGGATTTCTCCACACATTGGCTGTGAACTCCTACTGCTATTGTCATAGCTGCTTTACAATTTGTGGTAGTGAACACGTGAGGCAGAGAGGATTTTTAATAAAATAACATACAAATGACTCCCAATTCTCCTTTTAGTCTGATAGCCTCCATTTTTCTTTTTTATAACATGAGAAAACTCTTTCTTACAACCTAGTGTTATGAGGGAGAAACGAAATCATTTAGGGAAAATATTTATTAAACTTCCAAATTCAACTTAAATTCAAGTTGAGTTGGAATTAAACTTCTGAGTCAACTCAAATTCAACTCTTAAGTCATCAATTTGTTTTCTATAGGAGAGAACAAACATATCAACAGCCACTTAAAATACAAAATAGTGTATTAACATTTTCCTCAAGTTTTATCAAGATGACAATCATTTTGTAAATGGCTCTAAACAACCGAGAAAACTCTCAAAAGAACACACTATATGCCACTTTGCAGGCCAGTGAAGAGTCATCTAAAATAACTGTGGATGTTCCAGTAATTGACTTCAAATACTCAGAATTTTGATTTCAGACAAGTTAGCCATAAAACCTCATTATACATACTGTGATTTTGGAAGAAAGAAGGAAATGACAGAAAGCTTTTCTGTTTCCTACCAG